ATATATATATATATATATATATATATATGTATATGTATATGTGTTTTTCAAGTACAAGTTTCCATAAGGTTTACTTGTAATTCTCTTACCATAAACACTGAACATTTATTTTTATGATCCATCCTCTCTCTGAAGTTGCTGCTGTACTTTGCTGACTATATGTAAATGACCTCTGTTATGATTGTCTAACCACTGGCGCAGTGTTAATTTAGTCTACTAATCACAGAACCGGCTTTACTGACGAGATGCGCATGAAAATAGCATTTGATTTTTTGCACAGCCCTACTTCCAAGTCTTCAATGCGGCACGCAAAACCCAGCGTTTCTCGAGCCGGCCTCAAAACCAGGGTAGAAAATTGCCTATTACTTATTGATTTTGATGTTTTTGAATGTAAACACCACACGAACGTCATAAGTGGACCTCAGACAACAGTATAAAATAATAAAAAGGCCAGTTCATGACCCCATTTAAGATGATGTGTCCTTATCCACATTGAACTTCTTTGTGATCAACAGCCGTCTATACTAATGTGTGCACCGTACCCTCTCTATCTGTCTCTCTGCGCTCCTCGTTTCCTCTCTTTAACCCTTCACCTCTGACCTCTGAAGACTCCAGCAGCTGCTGAGTGACAAGAGAGAGGAGGATGAGGAGGAAGAGGTGGAGGAAGACAGGTTTGTCCCGGTGTCTCTCTTTCCCTTATCTGCCCTCTATAATTACCCATAACCCCCTGTGTTTCATCTCTGCTTGCAGTCTTTAAATTCTGATTGTCTTTCAGCAGGTAGTTTCCAGCCTTGGAGAACAGCCCAGAAAATGTTTATACTTCATTAATGTTCTTCGATATATATATATGTATATGTGTTTTTCAAGTACAAGTTTCCATAAGGTTTACTTGTAATTCTCTTACCATAAACACTGAACATTTATTTTTATGATCCATCCTCTCTCTGAAGTTGCTGCTGTACTTTGCTGACTATATGTAAATGACCTCTGTTATGATTGTCTAACCACTGGCGCAGTGTTAATTTAGTTTTAAAAAAACGGATAGTTCCAGTGCTTGATTCTGATTGGCTGAGCCACGTTCGAAGCTGTTATAAATTACTCTACGAACATACAACGTCTCTCTGCGCTCCTCGTTTCCTCTCTTTAACCCTTCACCTCTGACCTCTGAAGACTCCAGCAGCTGCTGAGTGACAAGAGAGAGGAGGATGAGGAGGAAGAGGTGGAGGAAGACAGGTTTGTCCCGGTGTCTCTCTTTCCCTTATCTGCCCTCTATAATTACCCATAACCCCCTGTGTTTCATCTCTGCTTGCAGTCTTTAAAATCTGATTGTCTTTCAGCAGGTAGTTTCCAGCCTTGGAGAACAGCCCAGAAAATGTTTATACTTCATTAATGTTCTTCGATATATATATATGTATATGTGTTTTTCAAGTACAAGTTTCCATAAGGTTTACTTGTAATTCTCTTACCATAAACACTGAACATTTATTTTTATGATCCATCCTCTCTCTGAAGTTGCTGCTGTACTTTGCTGACTATATGTAAATGACCTCTGTTATGATTGTCTAACCACTGGCGCAGTGTTAATTTAGTTTTTAAAAAAACGGATAGTTCCAGTGCTTGATTCTGATTGGCTGAGCCACGTTCGAAGCTGTTATAAATTACTCTACGAACATACAACTTTGTTTACGTCTGTGTGTTGCTCTGCAACCACTTTGTTGGAACCACAACTGATTCTGAGGAACCACACTGTTTGGTGGAAGAATACTGTTTTTATTAATATCATAACACTTTATTTGCTCAGTTTTATTTTGTAAATCCTAACTATGTATATGGAATAACCGTTTTATAAAAGCAATAAGCCCCGTGAAGCCGTGGTTTACAGTGAATTTATAACAGCTAAGGGGGTTTTACTCACTCGGCTTCACGTCGTACCTAACAACGCCCCTTAGCTGTTATAAATTCACTGTAAACCACGGCTTCACGGGGCTTATTGCTTTATTATTTATATCTTTATATTTTATTTTATATGTGCTTTATTTCAATTAGCTAAAACTGTTTTTAATAGTAAAACTATTATTAATAAATGGTTTGAGTAAACCAGAAAGGAAGTTTTGAATTGTCTTTTTTCAAAAGAGCAAATTTAGTTTTTAATATGTTACCATTTAACTTCTCTGTTGCATCATGTGTCTGTCATAACACCATGTTATTTTTCCTTCCCTCCTAATTTAGTTTTTCTGTTTTGTTTCAGATAATCTATGCTGCATAGTATATATACATATATATAAACCTTATAAAACAGATTTGAATTTCTAGTTTTGATTTTTCCTTCAGTGCCAACAAAGATGAAGCACTTGACGGCGAACAGAAGATTAACGAGAGAGAGCATTTAGAATCGACCAATCAAGAGCCAGAGATGGTATGATTGACAGGCCGCTTGCCCTATCAGAACACATTTTAAGGGTGGAGCTCATCATTCAGTCTTTGACATGAGATGGTTTCCCTCAGGAGGCCAGTGACCGTGAGGAGGGAGATGGAGAGGAAGACGAGGAGGACGTTGAGGAAGAGGAAATGGATGCAGAGGAGAGCTCTGATGAGTCTGACTCTGACCTGGATGAGAAGGGTACTGATGTTCACTGTGAAATAATAACTTTACCTTAATATGATTTAGAAAACGACTGCTTTTTAGAGACTTCAACTAGTACTAAAGCTATATGATGAGAATTTTCGTTAAATTCTCAATAAAACATAATTTTAGTAAGCCAGATCTATTTATTTTATTTTTATTTGATTATTAACTTTATTTGATTATTTATTTATCTTAAGTAATGAAGTGCAAGAGTTTTGCTGTTTTGTAAATATACAATAAAGCACATATATAATATACAGTACTACTTTTTTAAGCAAATTTCAATTTAAAACGAGGCCTGAAAATGGCAAAAACTGCACAAAACTCGTAGAGGAAATTCAAAATGAATGACTTCCTGTTGCGTTTAGGATTTCGCTCCAAGAGACTTTTTTTTAGGTATTGGGACATTACATGAATGTACTGAATTTCGTACATGTAAGTGAAACGTAGTGGGAGGGAACGCTTTGTTGAAATTGTATAGGTGGTGCTATCCAGCCATTTTGCCATGCATATCAGATGTACATTTTCAACAGTTCTGATGCATGTGCAAAGTTTCATGAGTTTTCGAGCATATTTAGGCCCTCAAAAATGCAATTTATTTTGGAGAAGAAGAAGAAGAAGAATTAACAGCAATTCCAGTAGGGTCCTCACACTGCAGTGCTCGGGCCCTAATATGATGCCCATTTAATGCCTGTCTTTTTGTAAACATAATTTTGAAGTATTTTTATTGTTTTCTATTGATTAGAGGACTTCCAGGCAGATCTGGCCAACATCACGTGTGAGATCGCCATCAAGCAGAAGCTGATCGATGAGCTTGAGAACAGTCAGAGACGTCTGCACACGCTCAAACAACAGTATGAGCAGAAACTCATGATGCTGCAGAGCAAAATCAGAGACACGCAGCTGGAGCGAGACCGTGTCCTGCACAACATGGGTAAGGACACATATACCACCGCTACACTATATGATGCACGATGCTGGGGTCAATGTAATATCATCATAAAATGCCAGTAACAGCTCAGTTTAGTTTCCATATCTGCATTACTGAACCAGTATGTTTAACCAGAAAGAAATACAGGGTAGGGTATTTTGTTTTGTATTTTTTGTTTTTGTGTTTGTTTGTTTTGTTTTAGTGTTTTGTGTTTTTGTTTTGTTTTTAATGTTTGTGTTTTGGTTTGTTTTTATGTTTTTGGTTTGCCTTGTTTTGTGTTTTATTTTTTTGTTTGTTTTGTTTTGTTGTAGGCTCTGTGGAGTCATGCTCTGAGGACAAGACCAAACGGATAAAAGCAGAGTACGAGAAGAAACTCGGTGTCATGAACAAAGAGCTCCAGAAACTACAGGCGGCTCAGAAGGAACACGCTCGTCTACTGAAGAACCAGTCACAGTACGAGAAGCAACTGAAGAAACTACAGCTGGATCTGGCGGAAATGAAGAAAACCAAAGTGAGAGTCACCATGGAGACATGGCTGTGCACTGAATCACTGAAACATGCTGAATCACCATTACAACATAAAATATTTGATCACAAACTGCGCCTCCCAGTGGTCCACAGACGCAACACCCCTACTCCAACATATGCAAAAATACATTTAGAATTGCCTGCTTTTCACAAAATCTCCACTAAATTGTTTATAGATGGCTATAAAAAATAAACATTGACATAAAAATTTGAATTTATTTGTTATATATTTTATTGCGTTATAACCACACAAGTGTACAAAAAAAAAAAAAAAAAATATATATATATATATATTAAGTGAAATTAGGACCAAGTAATGATCGAGTACATGATATGCTAATTATTAAACTGAATTGATCAGTTATACACATTTTCTCACATAATATTTTCTGTGAAAATAACCCAAATTAAGAAAATTTAAATGAAATATTGCTGTTCTAAGCTTATATACTCTTGTATAGTAGCAGTAGTCCACACTCTGGTATGTCTAATTAGTTTGTATACAGTTAATCCAGAATTGAAATGAGCTGACTGTTGCTATGGTGACTGTTGGTAGGTGCGTCTGATGAAGCAGATGAAGGAGCAGCAGGAGAAGAGCAGGATGGCCGAATCCCGCAGGAACCGAGAAATTGCCACACTTAAAAAGGACCAACGCAAACAGGAGGTGCATGATGGGAGAATAACACTAATGCAGCATGAAAGAGCCAACTGACAGTGAAATGTGTTCAACGTGTGTTGTGTTTTTCTCTTGTACAGCATCAGCTAAAACTGCTTGAAGCTCAGAAGAGACAACAGGAACTTATTCTGCGCAGGAAGACTGAGGAGGTGAAATATTCCCCTCAATTTTGCCTCTATTGTACCTCCAATGAGTGACTCATTGATGTTTGATGCACACAATAATATTTATCAATTTAAAATGTGTTATTAAGGTTATACATTTCATTTCTTTAAACCTGCAAATGCCCTGAAAATAAAAGTCCCTTGCTTTGATATTTTTGTTATGTAATGCACTTAAGCACTTCAGTGTTGTTATTGATACCTAAAATGCAAACTACTGAAAATAGTTTGGTAAATTAAATATATATATATACATTAAAATAATATATCAATATTTAATGAAAACTTAAATAAAAAAAGGAAAGAAAATTAGAAATGTTGCCCTGGCAAGTAACTGAAATAAAAAGTCAAAGTTGAAGTATTAAAATGACTAATTATAGAAATAATAATAAACGAATACAAAAAAAAAACACAACAAATTTACTAGAACTTCAACTAAAATTAAAACTGAAAATCAAAGCTAATTCAAAATATTGATTACTATTAGAATATTACATAAATAATACTAAAATAACACTGATGCACTTATACACTATAATACACTTATGCCTTGGCAACTACCTGAGAAAATAAGTACTAAAAATTATCAAAACCTACATATAAATTAAAGTTAAGTAGAAATCTGAAAAACTCATCTAAAAATGTCAAAACACAATAACAAAATTGCTAAAATGATCATATATCAAAATAAAAATATACAAATAAAAGCTAAACACTAAATAATTATCTAAATACTTTCAGATAATACATTTGAACATTGTAAAGACTTACTACTATGCAAGTGAAAAATTACCATGTAAACACTGATACTTCAATTTGGGTATTTAGGTATATTTAATTTATTTTTTAATAGTCAATTAATATGTTGATTATTTTCTTAATCTCTCAGTTCATTTTAGCAAGTTACAAAAGGCCAAATTGCGTTTTTCCAGAGTTTCCTGTAGTGATTGCTGCTGTGTCTCTCAGGTGAGCGCTCTGAGGAGACAGGTGCGACCCATGTCAGGAAAGGTCACACGAAAGGGGAATCTGCCTGAGACAAGCCAGGACCTCTCTCACAGAGCAGGTCGCACATACTCGGCCTCCGGAGCACCTAATGGAACCAGGTACATTATACAGGCTTCATGTGCGTTAATATGTGTACAGTATGTGAGCTGATTCTGCTGTGACGGACAACTGTTTGCTTTAGGTTATACCATCGCAGGACGATTGGGGTGTACTCTACCCGATTGGCTCGTGGGAAATGGCAGAGTCTGGAACGCCGTGTCTCCGATATTATCATGCAGCGCATGACCATTTCCAACATGGAGACCGACATGAATCGTCTTCTAAAGGCATGAATCTACCTGTTATCATGAAAAACACCTACCTAACCTGCATTAATGCTAATGTAATTGTAAGATAACCAGTGTTGGGTAAAGTTACTTTTAAAAGTAATGCATTACTTAGTTACTTTTATGGAAAGTAGTGCTGTCAAAATTAGCGCGTTAAAGGGATAGTTCACCCAAAAATGAAAATGAATTACCCATGAATTACTCGCCCTCAAGGCATTCTAGGTGTATACGACTTTCTTCTTTCAGACGAATCCAGTCGGAGTTATATTAAAAATGGTCTTTGAACTTCCAAGCTGTTTAATGGCAGTCAGCTGGTGTTGCAGTACATCAGTCCAAAAGAAGTGAAATAAAGCACATCCATCCATAATAAAAAGTGTCTCACACGGCTCCGGGGGGTGAACAAAGGCCTCCTGTGGTGGATCGATGCGTTTTTGTAAGAAAAATATCTATATTCAAAATGTAATAATCACTTTAATCTAGCTTGTGCCAACAGTTGTACACAGAAGCAGCTCCGGGAGCATTTTTCATTTGCACAAATGCAATTTGTGATTTATTTTAATCGATTGACAGCACTAATGGAAAGTAATGCATTACCTTACTTTTGCGTTACTTTTTGTCGCCTGGGCTGTTTTTTTAATAAGTGAAATTAATAAGACTGAGGCTGAAGGAAGTGCTTCTGATTTGATTTCTCTCAACACAGGGACAGGAGAGCTGTCAGTGAATAAAGGGGAAAACAAAGTTACTTGCATTACTTATTTGAAAAAGTAACTCCGATATTCTCTTGTAAAATTAGAAGTAATGGGTTACTTCACTAGATACTACATAACTCGCGTTACTCCAACACTGGAGATAACATTTACATTCCTAAAATATAAAGACAAATATAAGGCTATGCACAAACTTGTTTAGTTTCTCGTCATCTGAAATCCTATCCACAGCAACGTGAAGAGCTGACGCGCCGGCGGGATAAGATCAGCAGAAAGAGGGAGAGACTGCTGGCGGAGGAACCGGAGGTAGAAAAAGATGTTCAGTCTCTGAATGAGGAGCTGGAGTCTCTGCTGGCCAACATTGACTACATCAACGACAGCATCTCTGACTGCCAGGCCAACATCATGCAGATGGAGGAAGCCAAGGTGAGGCAACTCTCAGTCGGTTTATTAAAATGACTCTTGAAAATCTGAATCAGTTCACTGAAATTGCTCTAGTTGCTTCCGATTGACAGGGTCCCTATGCAGTGTTCACTCTGCATGTCATCAGATGTAAACACGTACATCACATATATTAAGCTATTAGGGGTGTAATGGTTCTCGGTAAAAAATCAAACCGTACCGTTCGGCACGCACTTGCACCGCGGTTCAGCTTAAATCTGACAACGCATCTGTAATATGGCTTGTTAAAAATAACAACACAGAAAACAGACAGAGATCGGCTAATGTATGTTTCTGTCGATGGATACACATTCTGGCTTCATACATTACAACAACAAAAAAAGAAACGTGGACAAACCTGTCACTCTTTGTAAACTTTGTTCAATGCGATGTATGCTGGAATATGAGCAGTCATTGATGCCGTCATCACCCGGGTGCTGATAACGCAGGCGAGACTTGAACAGCACATGCTGCTATCTGTTTAAGCTAAACGCATTTAAGTCTTGCCAGTTTAAACATTCAAGAGCCAGAAGACGCAAATGAGAACTCACGTGTACAGTGAGAAGATCTGTGTGTGCGCTCATCTGAAGCGCCAAACCCACAGAGAGCACACAAATATTGAGTCTTGTGCTTGAGAATTTCACACAAAAATTATGTCAACATGGCCATCTTGGTGAGTATCCTAGAAGACATAATCGGTTGAACGTACAGTATCAGTGTACTGGATCTGTGCATTGTCTTAAAATTTTTAATGTTAATCAAACAACAAAAGACAAGGAAATCACTCACTGCTCTTGATTGAATCTTGATTGTAACTTTAATAAGGATTAATCTTTAGTTTATACAGTCAAATATGCAATGTTATTTTACATTTGATTTCTGTACCTAAAAACTAATGCTAGACCTACCTAAAAAAACTGAAAAGCACTGTTTATTTTATTTGTATATTTGCTCTATTTGTGCTGTTGCTTGTAGTTAGATTATTTGTTCTTATTTTCTTGAATTTTATTTGACAGTATAGTCTTTTTTCCCTGAACATAGCACATATCAAACTGTACCGAGACCTTGACTCTAAAACCATGACACAAACCGAACATACATGATACCGTGAGCAATTTGAACTGTTACACCCCTGTAAACTATGATGACATAATATACTTCTGAAAATAAATATATAATACCGTACGTTTGTGTAATAAGCATGTGGATATAATACATCCATGAGTATTATATTAATATGCTTTTATCATTAAGTGAGTATTAAATGTCATATCTGAAAGTGCTAAATTGAGTGATAATTATCTGTTGTGATGTTTAATATGAAAATAAATGTAAGTTGGTTATACTAGATGTGTCTTATGTAAGATTGAACCATCACATATTGCACAATTTTTACCCATGAACAACTGCATATACAGTAAACTAGGGCTGTGCTATATGGACAAAAAAAATACTGTTATGATTTTTTTGATCAATATTGCGATTTAGATTTTAATCAAAATGTTGACACTATTTTTTTACACACACACTTTACATTCATAAATGCTTAATTCATAAATGCAATGTTCTGCTTGACCACATATTTTGAAGTAGTTGTTTTATGAACCCATTTTTAATTCCAATTTCAATACCACAGCAAAAACTACTAGCCTAACTAATATAAAGTTATTAACATTATTAAAGAGAAAACATTTAGTAGTAAAATAAGAACAATTAAACAAATTACAAGTAATAACACAAATAAATAGAACAGAACAAAGATACCTGAGACAGATGAAACTCAATAATAATGCCATATAATAATAATAATAATAATGAAATAAATGTAATAATAATAATAATAATAAAACTAAAAATAATAATAAAACTCCTTTTCACCGCCTTTAGTACTGGAGAGATGAGCAATGACTGGTGTAAATTACCCTCTCCACTTTCTGTGAAGTCATGAATCAGTGTATCTTTATTCCCTATGCCATTAGCAGCTCCCTTCGAACTGGACATGTTCTCTCCCTTCAGATTGAAATGTATCATAATATAGCCGAATCCCCTGTTAAGTCCACTTAGCAGGACACCTATGGTCGAATCAAACGCACCTTCTATGATCTGAATCAGTTTACTGTAATGACACTGCATCAGGTCACTGAAACGGTTCTGAATCATTTCACTGACATTAAGTACCATCACTGAAATTACCCTATTGACTACCCCGGTCTAGGAATTGCACCGACTAGTTGATTAGTTCTGCCATTAGTTGAGGTGTTGAGTCTGTGTTGACTAGTCATGGAGTTGTGTAAACCAATAATTCTTGCAGACCACCCTGAAACGAATCAAATATTGCCCAAAAGCTGACAGAAACTATAAGCATATATAGCTGTTAAGGCATCATTGCCTATTGCATCTCTATCAGTGTTGTTTGCCTCGTGACCGGACTTGGACACATTTTCATGGTCTTCGTCTTGTTTTGTACTTGGGAGCATTTGGAATCGGTCTTGACTCAAACTCGACCCTGCATTGGTCTCGGTCTTGACTCGCACTCAACCTACTCAGGTCTCAGCCTGGACTTGGACTCAAATGAGCTGGTCTTTACTACAACACTGTGTGTTGAGTTTGTGCTCTCAGTATTAAGTCTGGTCCACATTGCAGCTTATATTGCCCTTATATTAGAACCTGATTTTTAGACCGGAAGAGATTGTCTGAACCACATGTCTGACAGTTCGTTTTTGGATACCTTAAATCAGCGGTGTCCGAACCTGCTCCTGGACAGCCGACGACCTGCAGAGTTTACCTAAAAACTGCTCAAAAACACCCGTCTGAAAGTTTCTAGCTTTATTAGCTATTTCAGGTGTGTTTTATTAGGGTTGGAGCTAAACTCTGCAGGACATCATTACCCATGAAAGGTTGTACAGACCGAGTAAGTACTACAAATAATCAAAGCAAACTTTGGAAAAACAAAACATCCTTGAAAGTGCTCGCTGTAGCAGCCAAGATACCTTGAAAGCTGTTTGACTGTGGACTGATACAAACCTTTACACCCCTTTACTGCCAAAAGTTACTTAGCACCCAACCAATCAGATTGGAGCTGCCCTTTCAAATTACGGGCCGTGAGTATGTTGCCTAAGACTAAATAGGTAGCCGATTACAGTGAAGTAGTAAAACAAGATTTCCGTGATCACCTGGAAATATCAGGGAATTTTAAAATTGTGATACTCAGGTCTGGAAAATCATTAAAATGCAATGGAAATGTGTTGGTTAAAAGGAGTGGGAACTTTTGAAATATCTTTTCCATATTCACATTGTACTGTGGTTTAGCGTATACTGTATATCCATGAATCCCGTCATACCATATGACTTCATTTCTGATCTTTTACTAAGCATTGTATTAGGCCTCTCCAGTTTGTTGGTTTATATCTCTTTCGTATTTGTTACATTTGGTTTTGTTTTCAACTGGGGGAATGTTTTTTTGATTTCTTTGTTGCCTTTTTTCTGTTCCCCTGTTTGGCCGATTTGAAACAGAACTAGGTAACATGCCCTTGGGTGAGTACCAGTAGCCACACTCTCTCTGTAATGAGTGCATGGGTCTACCTCTTCCGACTAACCACAGGCTAGTGGTCCCGTCCGCAGGTGCATGAGGCTTCTGTTTATCTGTCCACATCTCCTCTACCGGTTCCTACCATATTAAAACATCAGTCCCCAGCTAGCAACATGCTACGTATTAGCATTAGCATACATCACAGTCCGGCAGCAGGAAAACAAGTAACTCTTCTAAACCATGTACGACTAATTTTTCTCCCCTCCTTTTTGAACGATTTACCATTTGTGTTCCCTCATTCCTCTTCTCCACAACTTTTTTTGCACTAACTTTGATGGTAGCCTCTTTCTGGTCACAGCTGATATCAGAAACCGGTTTGGATCAGCGTTTCACAGCAACTAAAGAAACTAGCATGGTAGCGCTGTGCTTAATTTATCCTCATTTGCTTTTGTTTTGTTACTACCACACTCTTGAAAGCCTCTTTTAAACATCGCAGATAACAGCGGCGGAGTGATTTTTGCCTCAATTCAACTATTTTGCAAGTCCATCCAAGAAATTCTTCTGGTGTAAATTATATATACACTCTCTTATTTCTTTTTTCTCATTAGAAAATGGAGATGATAGTAGTAGTGACGAATCGACCCCAAGTCCTGCAGTGGAAGGAAAGTATGTTTATCTGCTAATGACAAATATATTTGTTTTCATTACTGTACCTTCAATGAATGATTGAATATCTTATCCCACAATTCAGCACCCTGGCCTCAGACCTCATGAAGTTATGTGGCGAGACTAAATCTAGGACTAAGGTATGGGACAAATTACTTTAATTTTACCTTACCCAAAGCTTGGTAAGCAAGAGACTTTAGGTGCAAACCATTCAAAGGGTGATCCATGAGCTAGGATCAATCTCACCTTAATCGAGACACCTAATCTCAGTTGGACTGAACCTAATAAGTAACTTTGGATGAAAGCTTTGCTAAATGACAACTGATTCCTTGCATATCCTGTTCCTTACTTAACTAAACATGTCTGTTTGTTTTTCAATAATTGCAAAGGCCCGAAGAAGGACCACTACTCAGATGGAGTTACTCTATGTAAACAACTGTGATTCTGGCCCGGACACACCAACAAGAGACTTCTCTGTCCCTCTACACCCAATGGCGGAGACATCCGAGGTATCTGGAGACCTGGAGTCGGCTGGAAATACAGTCAGGGATCGGGACTACATGCTCCCTCCTGCAGGCTTGTCCTCTAGAATGGGTACCATGTAAGTATGTAGTAATCTCAAACCTTGCTAACTAAAAGCTTAACGCTTACTCACTGCTCCACCTCACATCATGCATGAACTAACTACTCCTGTTTTATGTTTACTTTACAATGTTGTGCCTTGTTATGACTGGTCTCATCTGGTCACTTCCAGTTTACAGTAATTGACAGTTCAGACAACATCAAAGATGGGCTTCTCTAATATAGGATGTTGCTTTCATTCACTTGACTTTTATTCCTGTTCCACGTGTTCTGAGTGGCTAACAACACTAAACAACAAAACTATGTTTGGTACTGATGAGCTTATGATAATCAAGAGTCATATTTGTCCACATAATCTATGTCAAAAAAAATAAATTATAATTTGGACCAAACTATATTATTATAATAACTTTTATTTCTCTTGAAACTTGGATTACCGAAAACTAGATAACAAAAGCATAGTAGGCCATGGGGACTATTTATTCAGCGGGAAGTGCTGTACACTTTTGGCAACCATTTTTGTCAGTCTGTATAACACAAATTCAGATCAAATAAACAGTTACAAGGGAGTGTGGTCAAGAATAACAATAATTATAATAGTTATAGTATAATAGTTGTTAGTATTTTCAAAATATCTGTCAGTAGTTGTGAGTATTTTCAAAATATCTGTCAGTAGAGTATTTTCAAAATATCTGTTTGTTCGTAGTTGTGAGTATTTTCAAAATATATGTCAGTAGTTGTGATAAGAAAATTGTGTGTAGGAGAAGAAAGAGTACTAATCGCTAGTCAAACAAATGTCCACGGTGGCAGTCAGAGTCACATGCTGAGCTCGTGTGAGTACGGTGACACCTACAGGTCAGAATGCGAACCACAGCAGCCATGGAGGTGTAACAGCTGATCTGTGACATTTAGTGCGAAAAAAAATAAATTACAAAAAAAAGACACCGTAAATTACAAAGAAATTTAAAAAAAAAAAGAAAGAAAAATGGCCACAATAGGATGGGTGCTAGTACTAAAGAGGATTTTGACACCTATTTGGATAGATTTAAGCGATGGATTGCAGCAAATAAAATTGATAGTGGAAAAAAAGATGTGTTCCTGAATGTTTTAGGATCTGTGGATTATGGCCTCTTAAAAAAAAGTCTAGTTGAGCCAGTTAAAGTAGCAAAGTAATTGTCTTAACTGGGGGCAGTCGTGGCCTAATGACTAGAGAGTTGGACTTGTAAGCCAAAGGTTGCAGGTTCGAGTCTCAGGTCCGGCAGGAATTGTCGAGGGATCGAGGGAGGGAGTGAATGAGCAGTGCTCTCTTCCACCCTCAGTACCAGACTGAGGTGAGACCCTTGAGCAAGGCACCGAACCCCCAACTGCTCCCCAGGTGCCGCAGCACATGGCTGCCCACTGTTCCGGGTGTGTGTTCACTACTAGGCCTGTCACGATAACAACTTTTTGTTGTGTGATATATTGCCCCAGAAATAATTGCGATAAGCGATATTATTGTCATTTTAAAGACCATTTTATGCCACTGAATATATAATCATAATATAACAGCATAATAATGCAAGAAGGTCTACACATTTCCAAATGTTAACAAACTTTTAATTTGTAAGAATATTTAGATCATGGAAATGAAGGGCCCTATTTTAACGATTTAAGTGCATGGTCTAAAGCACATGGCGCAGGTGCACAAAACAATTCACTTATGCTAGTTTAACGATGGGATAACAGTCGGCGCCCAGGCGCATGGTCTAAACAGGTTGTCCCTATTCTCTTAATGAGTAATGGGGGTTTTTTGGGTGTAACGTGCAAAAAACCAATCAGAGTCTCATCTCCCATCCCCTTTAAAAGCCAGTTGCGCTCGTGTCATGGTGGGTTCACTATTGGCAGAATGTAATTTTTAATTTTTAAAAATGTTTGTGTGCTGCTGCACGTCCCTGTGTGTGTAATAAGCAAAGTGTCCGCGCTTTGTCCCCCCGCCTATAGGCGCATATTACTAGCGCGCTCTTTAAATAACAAAGAAAAAATATTGCGCCAGGTTTTTGTTGGTCAATGGCGCAGTCTATTTTCAGTTCCTCTAAATAGCAACGTGCCAACAATTCGCCTGAACACACCTCTTTTTTAGACCAGCACACCCATGGGCGCACAAATGGGCGCAAATACATTTGCTATTTAAACAACGTGGCGCAGGACGGGAAAATGAGAACTGCATTGGGCTGAAACTAGCAAAAACACTTGCGCCACGCCTTGCACCAGGTGAATGATAGGGCCCTAAGTATCAACATATTAGATACCTTTAAAACCTGAATAAATAATAAATAAACATTTTGTAACAAAAAGTGCAAAGTAACAAGTAGGGAAAAAAAGAAAAAGAATTTGTATGGAAATTTTTCCATCGACAGATTTTTCCCTGACCTTTTCTCTGTAAATTAAGGGTGCACACACTATTGCTGAAAAACACAATCCCTACTTAGCAGATATGTCCGTATGCACAAAGGTACAGATCCCTAAACAAGACCATATATGCAGAAACTTTTTTTGTAGAAGCATTTTTTTTTTATTTGAACTAGCACCTCATGACTACACCACATTATGTACGAGAAGCTGCAAAAGACACGGGCGCAAGTGGAATGTACAAAACATGGTGACATTCATTTTTAAGGAAATATAATGGGCGATATATTGCGTCACCAAAAATTATTGAGGTCATGTACATATATTGCATGATATGTCGATATATTGATTATTGCAACAGGCCTATTCACTACTGTGTGTGTGTGTGTGCACTTGGATGGGTTAAATGCAGAGCACAAATTCCGAGTATCGGTCACCATACTTGGCTACACGTCACTTCACACACAATCACAATTTAATCACAATTTTAACATACCAGGAAATGACTCAGACCCTTTCTGATCATTTTAAGCTCAAGCCAATTCTGATTGCAGAATGCTTCAGATTTTACCAACACAGCCAAAGTCCTGAAGAAACTATATCTGGCTACAATCTGGCTTTGAAACGTCTGGCAAGTTCATGTGAATTTGGAACATTTCTAGATGATGCTCTCAGGGACACATTTGTCTGTGGACTTGCAGGAGAAGGTTACTGTCAGAAAAGGATCTTACTTTTAAGAAAGCCTGTGATATTGCGTTCACAATATAATTAGCACACAAGGACACTAAGGAGCTGGGTGCTCCGACAACCATAAAGGACACAAGTGTGCATAAGGTGCAGAATGCCTGTGGAGCCAAAGAGAAATACAGAGGACATGGACGTTCTCAGTGCAATACAGTACCAAGAAAGGGGCCCAGCAGCAACCTTCTAACTAGCATAAAAGCAGTTGTTACAGTTGTGGTGGAAGCAACCACCATCCCACAGAATGCCGTTACCAAAATAAGAAATGCCACAACTGTGGAAAAATTGGACACTTACAGCATGCATGCAGGAGTCACAGAGCACGGCGTTCAGCAAAAGCCCAGTGAGTGTCAGGCAACACATCAGAGACACAGTGTGCAGTGGATGATGAACTGTTTGATTTATTCACTATTTACTCTGGTCACGACAAGGCGGATGGCATTTACATTGATCTTCAGCTAAATGGCAAAACGGTTAGCATGCAACTAGACACAGAAGCCTCTTTGTCTTTGATATCACAGTACATTTCTAATGACAAATTGAAGGACTTTTAGGTTGCACCCAACCTCCATTCATCTGGTCTCATACACTGGGGACAAAATCCCTGTATTGGGCGAGTTTAAGGTTCCAGTCACCTATGAGGGACAACAGTGGTCACTTCCATTGGTTGTGGTCAAAGGAGGCAAACCTCCATTGCTAAACTGGAAGGATATTTTCAGCTTAAGTGTCGCCGGTGAGCGTCACTTCACTCTCTGATGTCCTTGAAAAACACAGAGAACTCTTTAGAGATGGGTACAGCAAAATCACTGACTTTAAAGCTAAAGTGATGGTGCAAGAAGGATCACACACTATCTTCAACAAACCGAGGCCTGGTCCGTATGCCCTTAAAGAAGCAGTAGAAAAGTAGCTTGATCGCCAGGAGAGGAATGGAATTATCCCTCAGGTCAGAAGGACCGATTGGGCGGTGCCCATAGTAGTTGTGGCCAAGGCGATTATAAAGTCATGGTGAACAAATGCATTATCGCAGAGGAATATCCGCTACCGAATGTGGAGGATCTTTTAGCCACTTTGACTGGGGGAAAAGTCTTTAGTAAGATTGATCTGCATATCAACAGCTGGAGTTGGACGCTGAATCCAAGCAGTACCTTACCATAAACGCACACAAAGGACTGTTTAGGTACCATCACCTTGCTTATGGAATTTCCACCGCACCTGCAATTTTCCAACACACAATGGACCAGATCCTTCCAACATGAAGTGTATTTTATGGACAATATCCTGGTCTCTGCTTCATCTTCTGAGGAACATCTGATAGTACTGGACAAAGTGCTGTCAATTTCAGCAACATGAAGTAAAGGGGAAGAAATCAAAATGTGTATTCCATTGTAAATCTGGAATTCTTGGGATTCAAGATTGATGAAAAGGGCTGCATCCAACAGAGAGCAAGGTGGAAGTGATTGTGAAGGCCCCTTCTCCTAATAATATCTCAGAACTACGATCTTTTCTCTGATTTCTGAACTACTACGAAAAGTTTGTGCCAAATCTTTCCATGCTGTTGGCCAATGTAAAGTGCCAATGGTCTCCACAGTGTGCCCAAGCTTTTGATGCCTGTAAACAGCAACTGTCGTCAAGTAAGTGGTTAGCCCACTATGATCCCCAAAAAAACACTTAGACTTGCCTGCGACGCTTCAGCGGTTATCTCACATGTGCTGCCTACAGGGAGGAACACCCCCATTGCATTTGCATTGAGGATTCTCACAGCAAGTGAGAAAAACTATACACAGATTGAAAAAGAGGCCCTCAGCATAGTCTTTAGAGTGAAAATGTTTCACAAGTATCTGTATGGATGCAAGTTCCACCTGCTAACTGATCATAAACCTCTGCTTGCTATCCTAGGTCCCAAGTCTGCCATTCCTACACTTGCTGTTCTCTGCATGCAACGTTGGGCATTGACTTTGTTGGCCTATGATTATGACATTGAGTACAGACGTTCTTCTGGTCATGCAAACACGTTGTCTAGATTACCATGTGAGGAGACTGTGTTTCAGGTTTCACACCTAGACAAATTGCCAGTCTGTACAAAGGACATTGCCACTGAAACTAGGAGAAATCCCTTGCTATCAAAAGTGCTGGACCTAACTTTGTCTGGATGGCCCAGTCATGTCACAGATGAACACTTGAAACATTTTCATGTCAGGAAAGACCAGCTTTAAACAGACCAGTGCTGTATCCTGTGGGGTTCGAGAGCGATCATTCCTCCAAACTATAGGGAAAGGCTGTTTTCTGAGCTGCTTGAGGGTCATCCCAGTATAGTAAGAATGAAAACATTTGCAAGAGTATACCTCTGGTGGCCGGGGCTCGACCAAGACATCTAGAACTTAGTAAGTATGTGCACTCTATGCGAGCTGGGTTGAAATCAACCCCCTAGCACTCCCCTGCATCCATGGTCCTGGGCAACAACCCCCTGGGAGCTTATTCACATAGATTATGCAAAGATTGACAAACAACACTTTCTACTGACTGTGGATGCCCACTCAAAATAGGTGGAAATCTTCCCAACTCACCTGACCAACTCAGAAAAGACCATAAACATCTTGCACCATCTCTGGGCTTCGTATGGATTCCCAAAAGAGTTGGTGTCAGACAATGACCCACCATTCACTTCCAGGGAGTTGGAGGAGTTCCTAAGAAAAAAAACGATGTGCATTATGTTCTGTCTCTTCCGTATAATTTAGCCACAAACGGTCAAGCCAAGCGGGTGGTACAAATCTTCAAAAAGGCATTAAGAGACCAGTCTCTTGCACCTCATCTGAGCCGGGCGTGTTTCCATATACTAACAGAACGTACACCTACTGAACTGTTCTTGAAAAGATGGCCTTGAATCCGTCTCACACTGCTAAAGCCAGACACATCTGCTGTGGTTGTCAAACACCAAGTGTAGCAAAAAAGAGGTCATGACACACCTTCTAGGAAACTCAGATCATTTGATGTTGGCCAGTAAGTGATTGTGTGGAACGGTCAACACTCAAATTGTGCCTGGGCTCCAGGAGTGATTTTGTTCAAACTTGGACCTCTCACGTACCAAGTTTAAGTAGTGTGAGAACATAGTGTGAAGGTACATGTGGACCATTTGCTGCCATCTAATATACAGGACCAAACAGCTGCTATGGACAGTATCATGGCTGATGATTTTGCTCCTTATGTGTGTGACGAGGGCAATGCCAGTGTTACCCGGCCTCATGTTCCAGTGGATACAGGGACAGTTCCCAGTCCTGAAAGAAGATATCCACTTCACCAGAGGAAAGCATCTAACAGATTAGATCTGTAGTTATGGACTGATTAGTGGTGCTAAAAAGGCAAATTTAGTTATATCATGAGAAGTTCTAACTCATGTGTGTTCAAAGTTTGTTATGCGAGACACAACTGCAATCACATTGTTGCATAAAGTCTACTGGGGAGGAAATGTAATGTATTGTTCATGTAAATCTAATACAGTGTATTATGGTAGTTTGCTTGCGCATAGAGCGCTAGTTGGCACAAGAATGCAACGTAACAGAGGGCAAGTGAGCAGCATGTTGCAGTAAAAAGGGCTCTGCAGTAAAGGGTTGTCGGTGTCGTTCCATTGAACTTAATGTATTGTTGTGTTGGATAAGCCATAGAAGAGAGAATTGCAGTAGTCGAACCAGCACTCCAACAATGATAACACTCTGCACAGAAACAAGATGCAAATTGAGGAGGACTAACCCTAACCCTTACACCTTGTGACACAGGGGCAGTACTGGACTTAGCCTGGCGGATAGAGATGTAATGCTGACGGTAAGAGAGGTAGGAAGTGAATCAGGATAGGGTAGTTCCAGAGCTACCAAGAGCAGAGAGTTATGAAATGAGAATACTGTGAGATTAACCCTTTCAGTTCCTGATTTTTTTAGTACTTATTAGTAAAAATAACTGGTCTAACAAGTTTTTATAAGCTGGCCCTGTTTCCTCTTTCAGACCGGACTTGTAAGGTGTGGAACCTGGTCACAGGACAGGAGATCATGTCTCTAGGCGGCCACCCCAACAACGTGGTATCTGTGCGTTACAGCTCCAGTCTGGTGTTCACAGTCTCCACCTCCTACATCAAAGTCTGGGATATCCGTGACTCTGCAAAGTGCATCCGGACACTCACGTGAGTTCCTGTCCAACCTAACGTGCATATAGAATAACAATACCACATAATATGTTTTCGGACACTTAAGGGGGTCATCCGATGCCCATTTTCCACAAGTTGATATGATTCTTTAGGGTCTTAATGAAAAGTCTGCAACATAGTTTGGTTAAAATTTCACAATGGTAGTGTAAAAAACACCCCTTTTACCCTGTCAAAAACAGCTCTTTTCAGAGCAAGTCATTTTGTAGCATTTTCCTTTAAATGTTAATGAGCTCTGCTGCCCCTGCCCCTCTCTTCCGAGCCGCTCTCAGAGAGACTGTTTACTTTAGCCGCATTCATCGTGAAACTTGCTAATTTGCACATTATTAGGAAAGGCGATTTGCAAAGATTCATTAAAAAACCTTATACTCACTTCTTCTGTAGGTGAAGCTGGATCACGAATGATTCGCGCGAACATAAACGCATTTATGTAGATCGGGGGCGCATTCCCTTTAGAAACAAACGTAATCCACTGCGCCTTCAGCGGCTCAGATTTCGGGAGTAAATGACTACTGCTATGTTCATTATAACATCCAACAACAGAATACCTCAATCACTTAGGAGTCATTCTTGTCTACAACTGCTCCAGCAGTGAAACACTGGCGGACTGATGACCGCTCACTCGGGGCGGGTCTAAGGTAAGACACCAGTCCAGTCTGTGCTGAAACGCTACTGTCAATCAAACTATCGTGGGAGGGGCCTGTCTGTGTGATGTCACACAGTGACAATGCCAACACACATTTCAGTTCAAACAACTTGCAAAAGTGCATGTAGCATCGGATGACCCCTTTAATTGCATGTTAATTACAATTAAATTAAAACATTTTGTAGTTTTAATTTATTTTAAATGCAATTAGCTGAACTTTAGAGGGCTTTTTTGACCAACTTAAGTAGGAATTAACTTAAGTACATCTTTATATGTACTTCATACTTTATATAATCAGGTACTTTGCATGAGCTTTAGTATGTTAGTCAAAAAATCTTTTTCGGCCGAAACCACAATTTCCGGTTACAGATATTTTGGTGCACTGCTACAGTTAAGCATGCTTCTTTTTCACTAGGATTGTGCCATTGTGAATTCACTATTGTCTTTACTATTAAAGGCATTACATCTTATTAAAGCTTTACTAGATTTTATGTCATTTGGAATTTGAGAACATACTATTTTGTCCAACTTATTCCTTTGGGTCTTCCCCAAATTGGTTCAGATGATCCTGAGACCATGTTCATAAAAACTTATTAAAAGCTTTTTGATTCCAGTCTTGACACTCCTGTATTTAAGTAACTGTAAATGTATTAATTAAAATATCAAAATGGGCATTTAGTGTCCTGGTATTTAGATTTTCTCACTCTGTGATTGTGTGTTTCTACTTTCAGATCGTCGGGTCTGGTGAACACTGGTGACACATGTGCAGCCAGTACAAACCGCACCGTGACCATCCCAGCCGGCGAGAACCAGGTCAACCAGATCTTTCTGAACCCATCCGGCACTGTTCTTTATGCTGCCGCAGGCAACTCTGTTCGTGTGTGGGACCTGAAACGGTATGCGTTCAACCCAGCATCCTTTACTTCACCCACTCTGGAGAGCTATAAATAATTTGCTACATCATATATCTAATTCTTTCACTATCTTTTTGTCAGATTTGTGTGTACAGGGAAACTGATGGGTCATCTGGGTCCGGTCATGTGCTTGACTGTTGATCAGACTGGAAATGGACAGGATCTAGTTATCACTGGCTCTAAGGATCACTACATCAAGGTTTTTATATCTATATCTATATATTTTATATCAGTGGTAATTTCAAAGTCGTTAGCTAGCACTTTCCAGTAGGTACAAAATAGTGCCTGAAATTCATCCTTCAGTAAATTTTATGTATCATTCTCAGGAAGTCAAGCTATTAACTCTTTTATTATTTGTTTTAATTTATTTTCTATGAGGTTATTCATATTTTCAACCCTGGAATCAAAAATCCTGAAGTATAGTTTAAAACTTTTATTTGTTATATTTTGTTATATTCTAACTATAAACATGAAATGCACATCAAAATGAAATATACATGTAATTAAATTAGGCAAAAAAATAAATAATTAAAAGCATATTAGAATGACTATGCTTGTGAAAAAGAAGTGTGCTTAATTGTATTGAATAGGCACTTGTGGTGTACTTAAAATCTTAAAAGTATTTAAAAAAAACTGCACTTGCAGATTAGTTCGATTATATTGATTAATACTAAAGTGGACTTAAAGAGAGACACTTTCATGAATACAGTATATTTCTTAACACACTTAAGTACTTTTAAAAACTACAACATTTTACAAAATTGCACTTTTGTAAAGTTTTACTTTACATTTTAAATCTTTATCTTTAATAATCTATTGTCATGCTTGAAAAAGTAAACTTATTTTGATGTTGACTAACATACTAAAGTTTATGTAAAGTACTTGATTATAATCTTAACTGTAGTGTGTTATATGATGTTACATTTAAAATAAATAAAGACAATTACATTTAATATAAATTTAATCTATAATACATTTTCATTTAACATGCAATCAAGTGTCCGGAAATGTTACATTCTGTTCACACTTAAGTATATTCGTTTAAAAGTTCACACTTAAGTATATTTGTTTAAAAGTTCACACTTAAGTATATTCTTTTAAAGTTCACACTTAATTATATTAGTTTAAAGTGTATTAGTGTACCATTTAAAATTATGCTATAGTACACTTCTTTTTCACAAAGATTTAAGGGTTGCAGATTTTGTCTAATTTTAGTCATTAGCTAAATTTGGACCAAATGTTGTTTTGTTGTTTTCATAAACTCAGAAAAAAAAAATCATAATCTTGATTCTTCCAATTCAAGGGGAAAAAAACAGGAACAGGAAAACTAAATACTACTAAAATGAAATGCTATCTAGTCCTTTTTCTTTTTAAAAAATGAAGCTGTTCTTCATTACTATAATAGAAAAAAAATCAAATTGTCATTACCTTGTATATATCTATCTATCTATCTATCTGTCTATCTATCTCTATCTATCTATCTATCATCTGACTATATCTGTCTATCTATCTATCTATCATCTGACTATGTCTGTCTATCTATCTATCTATCTATCTATCTATCTATCTATCTATCACTTTGTCGTTTTCTTTTAAAAAGGTAAGTTCTACATTTAAAATAAATAAAGACAATTACATTTAATATAAATTTAATCTATAATACATTTTCATTTAACATGCAATCAAGTGTCCGGAAATGTTACATTCTGTTCACACTTAAGTATATTCGTTTAAAAGTTCACACTTAAGTATATTTGTTTAAAAGTTCACACTTAAGTATATTTGTTTAAAAGTTCACACTTAAGTATATTTGTTTAAAAGTTCACACTTAAGTATATTTGTTTAAAAGTTCACACTTAAGTATATTTGTTTAAAAGTTCACACTTAAGTATATTCTTTTAAAGTTCACACTTAATTATATTAGTTTAAAGTGTATTAGTGTACCATTTAAAATTATGCTATAGTACACTTCTTTTTCACAAAGATTTAAGGGTTGCAGATTTTGTCTAATTTTAGTCATTAGCTAAATTTGGACCAAATGTTGTTTTGTTGTTTTCATAAACTCAGAAAAAAAAAAATCATAATCTTGATTCTTCCAATTCAAGGGGAAAAAAACAGGAACAGGAAAACTAAATACTACTAAAATGAAATGCTATCTAGTCCTTTTTCTTTTTAAAAAATGAAGCTGTTCTTCATTACTATAATAGAAAAAAAATAAAATTCTCATTACCTTGTATATATCTATCTATCTATCTGTCTATCTATCTCTATCTATCTATCATCTGACTATATCTGTCTATCTATCTATCTATCATCTGACTATGTCTGTCTATCTATCTATCATCTGTCTGTATCTCTCTATCTATCTATCTATCATCTGACTATATCTGTCTATCTATCTATCTATCATCTGACTATGTCTGTCTATCTATCTATCTATCTATCTATCTATCTATCTATCTATCTATCTATCACTTTGTCGTTTTCTTTTAAAAAGGTAAGTTCTAAGACTTTATTTGTTGGAAGGTCACAATACTGGGACAGGGCAAGATCCCCATTGTATAGGCTGTACACACATTTGATGTAATGTATAAAAACTTACCTTTCATTCAAACTTTTTATAATAGGTTATCTAACATATCTATTAGGTCTGACAACATGACATGCAGAAACAAATTTTAAGATATTGTGGTCACAAATTAAGAAATACAATAATTCCCATGATTTACTAATTTGTGGCATTGCTTTATTTAAATCGTGGCCATGTTGTAGTAATTAGTTCACTAATAATTTATGTACCCGTCCACTTCCTGTTAGGTGATATATTGATGCTGGTCCCATAAAGATGGCCGAATACCATGTGATTAGATGTGTCATTTGTTTCTGCAGATGTTTGATGTGACAGAGGGTGCTGTGGGTAGTATCAGCCCCACTCATAACTTCGAGCCACCCCACTATGATGGCATCGAGTCCCTGGTGGTTCAGGGAGATTGTCTGTTTAGCGGCTCCAGAGACAACGGCATTAAGAAATGGGACCTGACCCGCAAGGACCTACTGCAGGTACAACCCACCTGTATTGACGACAGGATCCATGAATACATTAAATATTTAATGGGTCATATGATGCTGCTAAAAAGAACATTATTTGGTGTAATGAAATGTGTTTATGCAGTTTAAAGTAAAAAAAACATATTATTTTCCACATACTGTACATTATTGCTTCTCCTCTATGCCCCGCCTTTCTGAAATGCGTCGATTTTTACAAAACTCATCGGTCTGAAAAAGCGAGGTGTGCTGTGATTGGCCAGCTGTCCAGTGCATTGTGATTGGCGGAATACCTCAAGCGTGAGACGTAAATGTTACTCTGATGGCGTGTCCCAGCTGGAGCGACGACACAAAAACATTAAACCCATTACAAACGAGGCATTTGTTGCATCCAGTGGGGACATAATTACTGATTATAATGACTCATACTGTCTTTTTACGCGTTGCGTTGCATTGCATCGTGCCACGTAAACATAAAACCCTGTCTACATTTGTGATCGGAGAAATGACAAACAACAAGTGCTACTCTACACTGCCCAAAACTCGCGTTTGAATCATCAGTGGCAAATGATAAAAGAAAATGTACTTACGTGAGTCAGAACTGCCGGTATTTTAGTCTAACGTTACTCTCCCAGGATCAGTAAACAGTCCTCCATAACACATGCCGGCGATCCACAGCACTAAGTTGAAGTATTTCCTCAGCGACCAGCACAGATCAGCTCTAGGCATGACGAAGCGGATATCGTCCTCTTTTAGAAGACCAAACAAAGTAGTTTGGCTTTCACAACGAAAAACACAGCGGCCTAGCGTGAGCAAAAGCCCCGGCTTAGCGTGAGCTGAAGCCGGGCAAGAGTGAGCTGAGGCGGCGGAGTCGAGAACGACGGTCCTGGCGAAGGAGCGGTGAAAGCGTTGAAAGCCGATCCGGTGATCCACAGCACTAAGTTGATGTATTCCCTCAGCGACCAGCACGGATCAGCTCCAGGCATGACGAAG